TCATTTACACAGATTGTTTTATGTTTTTGCATAGATAAGTTATTTTTATGTTTATTCCTATACAAAGTTTTAGGTCGAGCGTAATACAGGAGATATTGGAATTTATTGGAAAGTGTCTACACACTTCACTAGTATAGAAATTATCACATATATATACGAGGGTGGTCCAAAAAGTTGTTATAAATACAAGGGATGATGGGCCCACCAGCCATCGCCTATAACTAAAATATAACTTTTGCATTGACCAACCTATTAACACTGCATGGAAGTCAGATAAGAGTCTTTACCCTTGGAATATAAAAATCTCACAAAGATCAGGCACTTTCCTTTCTCACTGTCTGTTATAAGCCAATCAGAAATCCCCTTACAGCCATGTATTTAGACTGACAATAACATACCATAAGTTCGGGTAACTACGCTCAGAACCCTGCTGAAGATGTGAAACAGACTAATCCGAGACTACATGTGAGGTCTGCAAAGAACACGCTACCCACTGCTACCTTCTAGATTAAATCTAATGCTAATCACTAACATATTTCATAAACATTAGGCTGAGGAAGACAAAGGCAGACCGCTATTTCAGAGATGGGAATCGGGGAATTGCTGTACAGTATGCTGAAGGTTCCCTGACTAAGGGCCCAATCACACTATGTGTTGTGCTAAAGGTTAAATCCACCAATTAGACCACGTTTCATGTTGCACCAGGGCTGGAAAAATCCCAGGAGCCAGGTAACCAATACTCCTTAAAGTGACACTAAACTCAGGACGTAAATCTTAAAAATGCATTGAAGTACCCTAACTATTAACAAAAATGTATCTTATTTGTGCATCACTCGGCTGTAGATCCTCAAATCATTTCTGAATTGGTGCTGACACTGTCCTTCCTTCTAGAGAGTGGCTACTTTTGTTCCTCATGGTCCCTGTGTGTGTTGTAAAGTAGTCACCGCTCAAAGCTCACTCCCGTGATGGACTACAATCTCACGTTTAGTTAGCTAACTTGCATTTCAGTTATAGTCCATCATAGGAGAGAGCTTGGAGCAACACACACAGGGTCCATTATAGATTCAGTGACCTCATCGCTTAGTCTCTGATCTTCTCTATGCAATGCAGGCAAACCATGGCTAGTAGGAGGTGCCAGCTGGGTACAATACATAGATTTCTGAGGATATCACAAGGAGTATGCATGTTCTCCCTGTGCTTGTGTGGGTTTTCTCTAGGTACTCCAGTTCCCTCTCACACTTTACAGACATGCTGGAAGGTTATTTGGTGCCTGTCTACATTGGCCCTGTATGCGTGTTGCAAAGGGACTTTAAATTGTAATCTCCTTGAGGGCAGAGACTGATGTGAATGTGCAGTATGTAAAGCCCTGCATACATTTCTGGTCCTATACACTGAGTGGCCAGATTATTATGACCACCTGACGTTTGTAGGCAAATTAGCTATAATTTCGCGCTGAAGTTGCTAGAGGGCCAGACCATTATAAATAGGGAAGCAGGTTGTTTACCACGACAGTAGAAGTGATTGTTTTCTGAAGATACGGGGAAACAATGCAGCAAAACAGCAGAATTCGTTAAATGTTCAAGAGCAGCTGTTGTTAAAGTGTTTAAAGACTGGACTGTCAGCCGAAAATCTGGGTCTGAACGTGCGAATTGTGGCCGTCAGCAACTAGTCAATGTTAGGGCAGAACGGAGAGTGGCAAGACTGGTACAAGACAACAGAAGGACAACAGTGCAGTGTCAGATTCCTCGCATCACCTTTCAACATCTAGTGGAGTCAAGAGGCGGCCCAGGTGACGAGGGAGCATGAAGCCAGCTTTCTGGCCAATCAGAAAGCCGATGGGTGTGTAATTACACGCTGACCAGCTTCCTGATACCGGAAGCTCAAGTATCGGGCTAGGCATCGGAATCGATACCGATACTAGTATCGGTGCATCCCTAATAATTACCAATAATAAAATAAATATCACAGCACTCTGAGCCAGTACTCCTCTCAAGAGCCCCCCGCTCTGATACAAGCAGTGGTCTGGCTCTTGGGAGGGGGTAGATGATGTTGGATGTCCTCCAGCCAGGAAATGAGGCAGGCTCTATTCAACCTGCTTCAGTTTCCAATGCACATTGTGGGAAGCTCTCAGTGTGCAATGAAATCAGAGGAAGCAAATTCAATCCAGGAGAGGAGCCGGTACAAGACTAAATGGAAGGCTGGTGTTTAGCTTCAAGCCACTAGTGTGCATTGGAGCGCATTTCTCTCCAATCACATAAAGTTCTGTCTTTAGATTAATTTGCTGTCTTTTTTGTATTATGAATGTGTAAAATGCATTTGAGAATAGCAGCGCAGAGCCTCTGCGAACCCATTAGGCTCCCAACACCAAAAAAAGAAATGAGAATGATGACTGGAGGACGTCTCCTGGAGATAATGCGAAACAAATGTGACTTTCACATGCATTATTTCCACGTGTCCTGAGCTGCACCTCCTACCTGGTTCGGTTGCCATGGAGACATCTCTTCCAGATGTGGAGTGTCGTCCTCCCGCCGCGGTGTCTGCCCGGTTTGGCTTCTCCCTGTCGCTTTCCTTTCGGATGACGATGACGGCCTCTCTGTGCAGCTTGGCTTTGTGCAGAGCGCTCAGAGCCTCGCCGTGGGGCGCCCCGTGCAGAGAGCAGCCGTTGATGGAGAGTATGCGGTCCCCTCGCTCCACGGTGACGTCTTGCGATGATGTCGACTTTGAGAAAACTCTGTGCACCTGAGAAGAGACACGATGATGATTATCACATGATAACGTTTTGGGTTTATTTCTTAAAAGGAGATCACCAACCAGAATGAAAATCACCAGCTAATAAAATATCAGGTAGTGCGCACCTAGGCCTCAGTGTCACTCAACCTGGGTAACCTCAGGACCCACATTTGTCCTTGGTCATTAAGTTGCGACCCAAGTCGCACCGTACTGGATCGCACAGCATTGCGGTACCGCACGTTCCAGTGCGGGAGATCAAACTGTGGGCAAGGGGGGGGAGGGGGGGGGTGCATTTGGGGTTGCCAATGATATTGCATGGTACAGTGCGTTAATGGCAAACACAATCTCACAGACATTTTCACACACACACTTTTTTTTTTAAAGATCCATCCTGTCTCTCTACCTTACCGAACTGGAGTGGATACTCAGCCTGGGGTCCAGTGTGGGCTGCTGTGCTGAGACGGAGCTCCATCCACACATGCATTGCTTGGACAGCTCCCTTGCGCACCCTGTAGAGGTGCCGGGAGCCAGAATGTGACATCACTCCAGTCCAGGCACCTCTACAGGGCACCCTCCATGCACTTCTCCATGGTCTCTCTCTGAAGCTATAGTCCACCAAAGAAGTGAGCTTGGAGCGGTGGCTACTATACAACACACACAGGGACCATGGGGAACAAAAGTAGCCCCCCACCAGAAGGAAGGACCGTGTCAGCACCAATTCAGAGATGATTTGAGCATCTACAGCCAAATGATGCAGAAATGTGTGAATAGTAAAAGGTACATGAATGTGTTTTTAGGATTTAACTGTGGGTGGCCAGTTATAGAAGGGCACATAGAAAATAATCTCGATAACGATAGCAGTATCCCCATGGAGTTGAATCCCTGATAGATTCACTTTAAAGCTCTAATAAATGTACTTTTATAAATGATTTAGACTTCCGTAGAAATTCACAGCATATTGGGTGTGATCTGTGACCGATGCTACAGATTTAATTAATACAATGTGCTCACTGTCAAACATCTGTCACCCGTACTCTACCCAGCCATCACAGCGATGCTAAGCATTTGGTACATTAGGGCCAAATCGTGGCCAGCTTCTGTCAGCACCATACGAATGAATGATAATGGCAGTGCTTTTATGCATACCAGATATTGCTAATGTGCATAGGCAAGCTTTTTTTTTTTTCTTGCTCGGAGTACATTGCTGTCCTGTGATTACACATAATGTTTAAAACATTTGTCGGAGTTCTGCGTGCAAGCCGTCTCCAATCAGACATATTTATTGCGTGTTTTAAACATTTGAATGCAGCTCAGTCTGTACGCAGCCGAGCAGGTGTCACTTCGGCCTTGAAGAGTAATTGGCCGTGCAGCCCGTTGCTGAAAGAGAGCTGATGGGCTGTTATGAAGGCTGTGTAATACATAATTGAGATTGAGATCCCAGCTGCTGGGCAGACACATACACCTGCATGTTACTTACAGTGACTGATTTCTGTTCCAGGTCCACTCCTCCGGCAATGCTGAAGCCCAGGCCAGCTCCCTCTTCTTTATTCAGTACCACAAAATACACGTCTTCTTTCCTCTGTTGGGATAAATGTAAATGAGATATGTCGGCTATGCAAACATTATTCACTAACACACCTTCATATGGAAAGAATCAATTCACTCAATGGAAACTCCTATCCACAGTGTTACTATGTCACCAGTTTATTTCTCCGTTACAAATAATACAGCATATTTGGCAATATGTTAAAACCATTTGCTAAGTGATGTATAATCGTAACACTTGCAAGTATTTATTACCTCTTACAGAGACCACAGTGCTTCCCCTGACAGTGCCTTCAATTGCTTTTAGAAGGACAGTGCCATCTTTGTTCAGGCATCATCCAGGGTCACCATCTACTTCCTGGACTGAGAAGCCGGATCAGAGATGACACATTCATGTAAATCCTAGTGCCCATTTAGTCTGTTCTCAAACTTCTGACAGATCAACCCCTGCTGGAGCCTCTCACCTGGAGAGTTGCTATAAAGTTATTATGTTGAAGTCTGATCACTAGGAGAGAGGAAACGGACGAAAAGCTTCCTCCTGCCTGCAGCAGACTGATGACATCATCTCAGCCGAAGGCAAAATCTGGAGCTCAGGGTTTTATTTTTTTTAAGGATGTAAAGTACAGTAGAGTTAAAAGGCCTCATTCACACACAACGCAAAGAAAAATGGTATATTGCGTATATACAAGCGTCTATGCGCGTATATACGAGCGTATGTGCCTATATGCGTGCACTATTTGCATTCCCAGAATGCATCATTCCTAATGGAAATTTTAATGAACTGTACGCGTATACACGCGCATACGCATGTTTGCGCGTATATGCGTACAGTTCAGTAAAATACGCAGAAATAAGCTGCCCGGACGCATCTCGGTTCCATTCTGTTTTTGGGCATATAAACGCTATGCAAATATATGGCTCCATACGCGGCTATGTGTATGGAGCCATTTATTTGCATATGTTGCATATGGTACAATACGCACGTACGCGCGTATACGCGCGGCAGTGTGAATGAGGCCTTAATAGAAAAATGCTGTTGGAGCTCCATGAAAAATCTGCATTTCCATGTATGTGGAGAGTAGGCAAATCAGCAGCCCATCTATGGTTGCCACCTGTCCAGAATTCACCCGGATAGTCCGGGTTTTGAATGCTGTGTCCAGGTTTCATGGCAGCAGAAACCCAGACACAAGATGCCAGGCAGATAGGCTCAACCAAAATTAAAATAGGGGCTACTGGCTCCCCACTTAAAATAGTTTGAACTGTGCTATTTACATATGAATGGGTGGCACTATTTACATATGAATAAGCCACAACTTATTCTCCCCCAAAAAGTCCACGCGTCGCTGGAGTGTTCAGGTTTTGCTTGAAAAAAAGGTGGCAACCCTAAGCCCATCTCAGAATGCAATGATCAGTTAAGAAGCTTAGAGGACTCACTGCCCAATATGAGAGCAGCACAGAGAATTTTGATGCCAGGAAAAAATGTGAAATCAGGCCCAATCAGGCAAGGAATTGTTTTTTTTCTGTGCCCTTACATATCTGAGATATCAAAACACAACTAATCTTGAGTCTGTGGTTCCACATCCTCTGCCCAGAGTTCAAAATTTCTGTAGACATTTCTCTGTGTGACACTTTCCATTGCAGAGGTACTGCAAAAAAAACCTGCTGCATAGCTGTAAAAAGGCAGAACAGGGACATAGAGACGCATTGGTATAAAAGACGTGTTAACTTCTGTATGTACACGGGAAACAAAAAGGTTGATACACCATATGGACAAACGGCGGATACCTGACCATCACACCTGTGTGTTGGTTATTCCATTCCAAAACCATGGGCAATAATATTGAGCTGGCCTTATTTGCAGAAGATATTGGAGTGTCTCTGGTGGAATTTGCGCCCATTCAGCCAAAAGAGCATTTGTGGGGTCAGGTACTGATGTTGGATGAGAAGACCTGGACTCCAATCGGTGTTCCAGTTGATGGCCTGGTGTCCACAAACTTCCAGCCATATAGTACATATAGAAAGCAATGGGACTGTAATCATTACACAGCTGAGAACTTCCATCTGTACTCTCTAAACAATGAAAACTTTCTTTTCAAAAAAGCTGCCAAAGCAAACACATAATTTGTATTCCAAATAATCCCTCAAAATCGACATACAAATGATGATGATAACCTTGTGAAATTGAGCAATTGTTTTCCAATCTGTGGCACCAGGAAACAAGATACCCTAATCCAACACTAGGTAACAAAGCAGCAGAACCACAAGGTATGTACAAACGATCGGCCTTGCAAAACGAGAAGACACACTTCAATGAAAACAACCATTAAAAATAGCATTTAATGCAAGTATAAAACCTACAAAAACATTTTAAACGTTGGACTTATACTCTGTGAACAAGTGAATGCATCCACCCAGCCCAAGGCAGTAATTATAGGACTGTCCTTTGGGTTAATCACAGTCCCACTGAACAAGAAGAAGGATATTCATCTTGACCGCTAAGCCACAGTAAAGAAAAAGCATCAAATACCACATATGTAAACCTGCCAACAAGACCGTATTTATTGCTAACAGCAACCCAACCCTGGCTATAAACCTTGAAATATTAGGAAATGAAACATGGACTATAAACCACAAATGAGACAAATTATCATCTGGTGATAAAGAAAAAAGATTTACTTGGTTGAGAAAGCCGAATCTAATGGCTATGGATTTGTCAGCAGGAAGACATGAAAGAGACCAAAATGAGAAGACATTAAATATAAACACAGAGTCCTCTACAAAGAGGGTCAACCCAGGGCCACCTTCTCATAGCCAAAGTTAAACACCTTGGTATATGCCCTCATATCCCCAGATAATAAAGTTATGTCTTTCATTTACTCTGAGAAATCGCTCACATGCCTCAAACTCAATATGACTAATGCTCAAGCAAAACGCAGATGGAAAATCCAATTATCTGCCGGCCTCATGTCTCGTCTTTTACTGTGAAGTCTTCATAACTCACAATATGTAGAGTTTCAGAAACACGTTGTGTTATTTACCACTTCACTGCAGAAAATGGGGATGGTGGTGGACCCAAGTCAGTTTTTAAAAATCTAAAGTAGAACTCTAGCTCCAGATTAAAGGACTTGGATAAAGCTGGACACTCCGTCTGATGAGGGGACCCTGAGAGTATTGCATTTTCTTTTGCTATGCTGAATGAATTCTGAAGCAGGTGGTGTGCTGACAACATACAGCATCTTCCCTATGGTATAAGGCCAAGTTGCATATACTGTAGGTGGTCATAGAGTCATTCCACCCAAAAATGGTAGTTTAGATAATAGTGAAGCACAGGCCATTTTATGGCTTCTTACATATTTTGGATAAGCCAACAGTGTGATAATTGACTTTTTTCCTGGCTCTGTACCTGCCTACCTTGGATATTTGAGTTTCCCTCTCACCTTTGTGTTTTCCAGCTACTCCTAATGCGTTCTCCATAATGTAAAATAAATTTAAGGTCCAACAGGGATGGGGGGGAGCCCCATATAATGGCCATAGCAGGTATGCAAAGACTGTTAAAGAGGCCCTGTCACCATGCACATAAAGGGCAAAGTTTCTGTTTAAAGCCCACCCAACCATCTTTCAGTCGTCTCAACTTGCTCCTTCTGTGGCCTCACTGAAGGTGCTTCCAGGTATGGGGGGCATGTGATCTACTTCCATGAAGCAATGCTTGTGCCTCATGGCCAATTGCAAGGCCAAAGCACATGAGGACGCGGTTGACGACTCCATGCCCACTGTACTACCACACCGGGTATTTTGGTAGCTGCAGCGACAGAGAACTGGAGAGATGAGTATATATGGTCAGAAGGTGGCCTTTACACAGAAACAGTCACTTTGCCTTGAATGGGAATGGTGACAGTGTTTATTTACCCTCCAGCATCTAATTAAAACTGTAAAATAACTGGGAATTACTTTTTAATAGTGTTGATGCCCTGCCCATTGAACATTTACCTATAATGTGTTTGCAGACAGAACAAATGTCCATAAAAGTCAATATCCTGTACAATTCATACATACCATACACATAACCTGATATATATTAGTAGTGGTTATTAGCAGCTGCTTATTACAGGGCAGCTCACATTTGGGGATTTGTGGTTATTTAAGTAGGCAATACTACTTTCACTAATACACGATTGTTGGAACATAGCTTGGGAGGAATTATAACCCACCAGGTCAGAACACGGCTCCCAGCACAGCCTGTTCTGGAACATGGAATCTGACCTTCTAATGCGGACCTCAAAAATGTACTTTCAGTGTATGCCAGACAGCCCTTCTCCTTGTCCAAACCATAAATGTCTCACATCAGTTTACCCAGGCCTTCCAGAAAGGCTGCGATCCATCTATAACTGGCTGCCCTGCTCCTGACTCCGCATTAGTTCTGTCTGAGGCTAACCAACCAGGAAGACAGCACAAAGGGGTATGCTCAACGTCTATATACAGAGCTCATGGAAATTCAATGTTCAGAACTTGCTGGGAAGGTCAGTATATAAGGATTGCTTAGAGTCGATGTACACGGCTAACTGGAAAGGTCAATTTACAGTTATTGGTGGCAGTCAGTGACTGACTTGTGTATATAGCTGGCGGCCTGTGACTGACTTGTGTATATAGCTTGCTCATATACACCTCCACTCATAGTTCGGTAGATCTGCCCCATAGGAGAGGAGATCAGCTCCTACAAGGCAAAGGCTGTGCTGTCTAACATTATGTTGTAAAAGGAGGCTACAAAACTACATATTTCTCTCCCGTTGCAAGTTCCGGTGTATATACACAGGCATTTGTTTGCATCAAAACTGCTTTTCTTAACAAGCAAGTCAACGGAAAATGCAAACTCAGCTCAAAGTAGCTCAGAAAGAGGTCAGCCATCTCAAATGCAGATGAAAAAGCATGCCGACTTTGCCCACAACATGGTCCCTGAACTGGTTGTATTTTTGTGATTTCTAACATCTGTTTATTGAAATAAAATAATAATTAGGCAGGTTTTATAATATATAGTTGCCCTCTTCTCTATTTTAACATTAGAGGATAACTATGAGGCTAGGTTCACACCTAGGAGATCCATGACCATGCGGCAATCGTGCACAAAATCGTCAAGGAGTCGCCCACCACAGCCGATCGCGCTGGCGGTGCCATTATTTTTTAATGGCACCTCAGTTACGGCGGGAGGATTGCACGGTTTCCTGCCGCGATTCCACCCGTGCAATTGAACATGATCGTGGCTAAAAAAGCTGCGTGTCGTGTGTCACAAAAAAAGCTACTTGTACCTTTTTTTTAGTGATTGCCGCACGGATGTAACCCCATTGAAATCAATGGCGCCGCGCAGCAGTGTCCCGGGTGTTGCTCAGGTCTGAACCTAGCCTGAGCTAACAGTCTCTAAAAGCTACTACCCTGTCCACTATTAACAATAAGAACTAACGCAAGATGTCTTCCAGCTCCTATCTGTGGATAACCCAAAGTTGTATATATCGCTCTCAGCTATGGGGCTCCATAATTTGATGGTATTATGTACACTCTGGAGGGTGTGGGTTATCACCATGAGCACCGGCATTTGACAAGGCAGCAACCATCAGACCTCATTGGCTCTTGCACCTCCTAGACCAGTCATGATCAAGTTGCTAAATACAAAGGGCTGCACAATAGCCAAGTTTTTGAAAATGTTTGATTATTATCTACAATGGAACAAATAGGATATTAAAAGAAAAAATGTTCTTAAATAGATGTTCACACACACAGTGCTGGCTGTTGAATTTCCACACCGGTCAATGTCAGTCACCACTAGGGCACACAGAAAACAATTAATTTCCCTTTACTTCCTGCGCAATAGATACAACAGGAAGTGAGCGGAAATCCCTCCAAAGGGAAGAAAAACCCTGTCAGCAATCTTCCAATGGGGACACTAGTTTTGATGTCAGCAAGGAAACCAGAATTAGTATCTCCATTGGAAGATTTTCATCTATTCCTGTTCTGATGACAAGCCAAATTTTGGGATTTTCTTTTACTTTCACTATTAGGGATAACGGTTACCAGGATAGATAGGGTCAATCTGCCTAACGGGGACACAGACAGCAATGAAATGAAAGTGTTCTAATCCCTCGCCATTCCATCCAAAACTAAAGAAAAACAAGTTTTGGCTTCAGTTGCAATTTAAGTGTACCCAACAACTATATTAGCAATTTAAAGCATATTTCTGGGAAGAATTTTTCCTAATCCTACCCCCCTACTGCAAGGGTTAATGGTTAAATGCTCGTTTTTGTCTAGGTGCGAAAAGAAAAAAAAAGTTATACTCGCCCGATCATCGTAGCCGGCTTGCTCTTAGGCTGGTCTCTGGAGCCTCTCTTCCCCGCCACTGCAGTAGTCTAAGATCCCGTAAATCATCACGTTCTATACACAATGAGGGGAATTTATCAAAACTGGAGCAGACAAAATCTGGAGCAGCTGCGCATGGCAACCAATCAGCTTCTCTCTCCAGTTTGTTCAGTTCAGATTTTAATATGAGAGGAAGAAGCTCATTGGTTCCTATGCACAGCTGATCCAGATTTTGCCTGCTCCAGTTTTGATAAATCCCCTTCAGTGTACGCTGAGAAACATTCCAATGCGGCAACGTGGGAGTAGAAAGGCTTCAGTGATCAGAGGAGCAGGGAGCCGGCTCAGCGGTTCTGGTGAGTATAACTTTTTAATTCCTAGACAAAAACAAGCACTTGAAACTTGCAGTGCAGGAATACAAGGGTTAAGAACATTTTTTCCCAGAGTTCTTCTTTAATTGAACAATGAACAGTCAAACTTGTACCTATGTTAAGTCATGAGAGGTTCTCTTTAATATGACGTCTCCTTACCACAACAGCACTGAGCCGTAGCCGCCTTTCCTCAATTATCTGCCCGCTAACAAATACCAGAACTATCAAATCTCTTGGCAGCTTCACAGATCAACAGATTTCTTAACATTAAACAGGCCAAATAAATTGTGAAATCCTTTACCACCCAGTTATCTCCAAGACCTCTAGTCAGCGGACACTAAACCTTCCAGACAAACTCACCCCAAAAAGGATTTATGTAATCTGCAATGTGCTGCAAGAAGGTTCTCCCGACCACAAGAGTCAGAAACGGTAAAAACACACTGAACAAACAGACGATATACGGAACCTCAAGTATGCATGAAAACATTAACAAGATCCTACGCGGGGGCAGCGCAACGACAGGCAGAAAAGGATTTGGTTCCCACAGGCGGCTTCCTGTGTAGTATGATTCCAAGGGCTTATTAAGAAATGTAATATTATTTTCATCAGTCTAGAATGTACAAAGGAAAACAGGAGGTCTGACTAAAGCTGAACAAGCCGCATCATGCCCCGTCCTTTCCGCCCGCACGTGACGGGGAGAAATGGTGCCATTGTAAGCTTCTAGTGAATGTTTGAAGCTAAATTGTGGCTGTGTGAAGAATTAGTAATAAATGTATCCCTAGATACAAGGGGCCTATTTATAAAGGGGCAATGAGGACAGTGTGCTGCTTTTTTTCTTTGTGCAGCTTTCAACTTAGTAATCATTTATTTAATTGTTGCCATTTATTATATTGTCATTCACTATGAGGCTCCATTCACCCCAGGGCGGAAGTGCTTCAGCGCGGTCTCCACGCAATTTTTGAAAGGGCATTTTTAATCACATGCCAGCGCTGTAATTACAAATGTCCAAAAACGCTCTCTGATCAGCGCATTTCAATTGAAATCTATATGTGCGAAAAAAGTAGCTCAGGGAGCATTTTGGGGCGGCAGGCGGCTCGGATTGCGTGGAGACGTGCGCTCCACGCAGGTCCCCATAGGAATGTATGGGATTGTTCATGTTGGTGGTTCAGCGCAGACAAATCCGTGCGACCGAACCGCCCTGGTGTGAACGGGGCCTTAGGTCAATGAATGCCACCCCAATGCACAACACTGTGAATCTTACATTAGCTTGCGGTAGCGCACAGGTATGAATGGGTATGCACCAAAACCAGTTTTTCGGTATCGAATATCGATATTTTTTTTCAGTACTCGCCGATACCCAATACTGATACAGGCATCCGTGGGCCTGGCTTCCCTATTTTTGAATAGCATAGGGAATGGGTCAGAACCCCAGTCAGGTGCGTTTGCTGGGTGTGGGACACAATAGCAATTAAAACAATTTGCATTAGAAGGGTGAGAAGAAACTAGAGTTCCCCAACATTTTCCCCGAAGTGCACAGACAGCAAAGACAAAAGAAACTGCCAGGGGCTACAATTGCTTTGTAGTACAATTGTACAAATTCCTTTTTTAGTTTTGGGTAGGGGAAGAAAGAGTTAAATAAACCATCTCCTTTTTTTTATTATTTTACCGCACAGATTTCCAAAGGCCCTTTGTTAGTGGGGCGCATGAACACCTTAATGGTGGCACCATATAAATCCAATAGTGAAAAAAGCCAGCACGCCAAACTGATGATCCAGATAGCAAACTTTACTGAGATCCTGTATCGGCAGCAAGGAACCATAGAAGTTCCGAGAACACACTGGCCCCTTTATCAATACCTTGCTCTTTGCTGTCACCTTGATAAAGAGAGTCGCTGTGAATTATTAGCAAAAATGATTGGACAGGAGTTCTAACTCTTCTCTATCCAAAGCAAAGAAAAAAAATGCTTAAAGTGACATTAAACCCTCAGATTTTTTTACATAAAACAATACTGTAATGTGTGCCTTACTGTAATCCATGGTTACTTTCAAGCAACCTAATAGTTCGAGCCGACGTGCGACAATTAATCCGTCGTCTCTATAGATTGTGAAGTGAGTGAACGCATACTGTCGCTCGCTCATTTCCCAATCATCTCCCTGCAGAGAGCCGGGTCTGTCAGTCACCGCTCCCCGCAGGGATTCCCCCCTCCCCGCTCCGATCCTCTAGCGCGGACTGGTGGAACGGACGGGGGAGGGGTCGGGCACAGCTGGCCCTGCCTGCAGATAGGCAGAGCCAGCTGTCACTCACGCAGCTGGTTGGATCTCGACAGCATTGTCGGGATCTGTCTCGGCTGTGGCACTCTCAGTATATACCGAGCTTTGGGTCACGGGAGGATGCTAGTATATGTCCTCCCATGACCTTAAAGAGAACTATGGGATAAGAAGGTTACCCCATAGTTCTCTTTCAAAATACACAAACATTTTTGCATAAGTTAAAGGTTAGATACACTAACAGAACCTTGTTATTGTTTTACTTGTTTTTGGCCCAGGCATCTCCATACTGAGAACTATAGCTCCTCTCAGTGAAAACTGTCAGGGTTTTATTAGTGTCAATAGGGAGATTCTTCTTCACTTCCTGTATTCAGCTTCACTCATTTCAAATCTATAAGTAAAAAAAAAAAAGGTTTTGGCTGGAGTTCTACTTGAACTTCTAGAGTTTGCGAGGAGCCAAGAGTTTCTACGCAGGTTTATAAGAAGAAACTTCAAATGTCAGTTCACCACCGAAAATGTGTAACAAATATATAACACTCACCTCCACTTGTGCTTTTGCTTCCTGAATCAGAGTAATGATATCTGATTTGGATGCCACAGAAGTCAAAACAGCCTGCAGCTTTTGCTGGTCTCTGGTGGAGACGATAAGCTGGTCCAAGCTAAACACAGACAATTAAACAGAGTTAGAATCTGGCAAAAAATTCACAGAATATTTCCTATCCTTCAGATAAGATTCACCTGGATCTAATGTGTACAAATGATGAGGATATATGCAATATGATCCAGGAAAACAAATGTCCACTGGTTATTTTTAACACCGGCCTAAAAAACTAGAATCTCCTTCTTCCAATCCATGCTTTTGTGATTCCATTATTGTACTTATTTGAACTTGTTCTGCTGTCTACAAAACATAATCAGTGTTTTTTTTTCTTTTATTCGAAAGATCCTTCTAATTAGGGAGGGATGAGCCAGACAAAAAACACAATGTGTAGTTGATAGTTAATATAATATAATATTGTTGATGCAATCAAGCTTTTAAGGTCATACTTGACGCAGGTTGGTCTAAACCCTTGGTTCTCAACTGGTGGGTTGTGACCCAAAAGTGGGTCGCGACCCCGTGTTCAGTGGGTCACCACATGCCTTCCGCTTTTCTAGGTGAGATGCTCCTCATCCTCCCCCTAGCGCAGCACTGTCAGTTCTCACATTGAGCAGCCATCCAAAATATGCTCCCCGCTGCCGAATGTCAGCTTGAGGTGGGATGGGGCAATGGCTGCGAGGGAGCTCCATCCATATGTGCATTGCTCTCACGTGTCCTGTAAAGGTGCCGGGACCGGAGTGACGTCACATTCTGGCTCCTGGCAACTATACAGTGTACGCAAGAGAGCTGTACAAGCAATGCACGTATGGATGAAGCTCCATCACAGCACAGCAGCCCACACTGGATCCCAGGCTGAGGATCCACTCCAGTTCTTGTAAGATACGGAGATCTTAAAAAGAGAACAAAAAGTTTATTTTTTGGGGATGGTGTATGTGTGTGTGAGAATGTCTGTGAGTGTATGAGATTGTGTTTGTGGTTGTGTATTATGTCAGTGTTTCTGAGGGCCCATTCACACTAGTACAGTGTGCACAGTCCCGTGTGATTAATGCACCTTACCACACAATTGCACCAACCGCCCCTTCTGGTGCAGGAGGTGCATTGCATTGCCATTCATTTGAATGGCACCCCAAACGCACCTCCAACCCACAGTTTGATTGCCTGCACCAGAACGCACAGTACCGCAATGTTGTGCGTTCCAGTGCAGTGCGCTTTGGGTCACAACTTAATGACAAATTTGGGTCCTGAGGTTACACAGGTTGAGAAACACTGTTCTAAACCCAAGGAACCAAAAGAGAACTGAAAAGAAGAGGTTCAATTACTGCAAATTTACAACTGGTCCAAAGAAAGCAGAGATGGCCTCCAAAATTTAGACTCTCTTGAGACCCAAATCGGTTAGAGAATATTTAAAGCAAAGCTGAAACAATGCTTCTTTCTTGGTCATTTCAGAAAATATTCTCACACTATAATGACCTCACTTTATGCCCAGTTCACACCTAGGTGTTTTGTCGCAGCCGATTCAACAAAACGCTCAACCCCAGGAATCCCATTCTGTTCTATGGCCCTTGTTCACACCTTTGCGTTTTGTCGCATGCCTAAAAATGCCTGTCGCGCAAAATAGTACATGAGCTACTTTCGGGCAGATTTCAGCATGTTTTGTCCCTATAGACTCGATAGAAAACACTTGAAAACGCTCATTGCGATTATTTTTGAACGTGTTGTCTATTCACATGAATGGGCCAAAGTCTGCTCACAAAAAAGCGAGACTTAACATATGTGCTCAAATCGTGTGCAGAAAACCTCTCACAACAAAATGTGCGTAATAGGTGTCGCTTAGGTGTGAATGCAGCCTAAAGTCTATTTCCCTTTTTGCAGCCAGATTGGGATAACACCTATCTTATACATGTTTCTCATTCACACAGAATAACCTAAAAAATTACATTCCTGCTTGAACAAAACCTGCTCATTTATGAAATGTTCTCGGTAGCGAATTTCCCTCTCATATGAGAGTTGTAAACTAGATTTAAACACTTTGGCCACCAATCAGCATCTCTCTTCAGTTTGCTCAGGTAAGATTTGAAAATGAGACAGAGAAGCTGATTGGTTGCCGTGCAAATCTGCTCCAGATGTTGTCTGCTACAGTTTTTATAAATTCCCCCCTATCTGTCCTAACAAAGGGTCAACAGCAAGATTTTGAAACATTACAGAGTTACATACATAGTATTTGAGGTTGAATAAAGACACAAGTCCATCAAGTTCAACCTTTGTGTGTCTGTGAAGCATTGTATATTAATGAAGGGGAGCTCAGTCTGTCTCTACAGTTTAAGGGCTCATGTGGACAGGAGATGTCAAATGTTGCTTTTTGCATTCAAGAGCAGCACTACAATTATATAGGAATAAGAAAATGCAGTCACTCACCTTACTGACCATGACTTTCTGACAAGTTCCCCATTTTGTGTTCCATCTCCATCATATGCGAACCCAGATATGCCATTTTCTTTAGCGCTCATATGAGTGCCATTGGGTGAAGATACACTGTCGGCTCCTACAGTCTTTTTGGGTGTAATCTCCAGTTCTGTTTTATATTGTGGCGCTTTAGACTCTAGAGAGAAATCCTCAGTGCAAAGCTTATCAAGATCCGGCATGCTTAGCGCTCTCAGTTCCCGTAATTTGGAACGGGATAAGGATGGCCTTATGTGGCTCGGCGTTGTCCTGGTTTTCCTGACCTGGACCCCATGCACAGAATTTTCTTCTTTCTCAGTCCTAGTTGACTCATGGACTGGATTATCCTTTACAGAGTCTACTGAGATCTTTTCGGTACATGTTAAGGCCACACTTGGAGATTTTGTTATTTGTGTTTCTAAGGACACTTTACTTTGGTTATCACAACAGGAGCTCAAGCTGCGTCTTAACACTTTTGAATCCTCACTGGACTGAGTATGCGAGGGCAAGGAACCTGAAGATCTCCGAGTTAAGGGAGGTTTACAAGAAAAAGGAGTGTTATTTATTTCAATGACCTTCATGACACTTTTATCAAAATTTACTAGATTCTCGAATGACTTAATCCTCTGCTTTACAGTTAAAGAAGATAAAGTTTCATGAGGCAAATTAAGTTCATAATAATAATTCCTTTTAATAGTCCTTAGCATGTCATTCCTTACAGAGCCCCTTTCATTGATATGTTGATTATCCTCATTTGTTTTGGAAAGGAAGTCATCCATGCTTTGATAGGATACTGACAAACTAATAGGGTCATCCAAAGCACTACCCTTTCTATGATGAACATTGTTATTGGCAGCATTGGGAAGATGAGCTGGCATTGAATACGTTCTTGTCACTGTCTTAGATCCGCTAGGTGGTTTCTCTACAAGGGAGGCATCTTCTTTGAGCTTTGGGGATTTGTAAACAATAGCAAAGTTGTCATATATAGTATATTCTGTTTTACTTCGGCTTTCACTCTTAAAGTTTGTATTGTTTATAGAGGATAGTGAAGGAGACAATTTTACTTCCATGAATGTACGTTGAATATCATTATTGTCTATTTGCTCTTCATGATTATGGAGAGAAGCCAAACTGCGGGTTTCATTCGTGGGCACTGTGTTGCCAACAGGAAGCACACTTAGGTCTCTTGATTTGCTATCAACATCACTTTTTCTGCTGGAGCACTTGCCATCGTCTGCGATCTGGTGGCATGCAACTTTGTCTCTAGTGTCAAAGCTTTCGTCCATATCTACAGATGACTCGATCTCTTGATTGCTTTCATCTGGACTTATTTTTGTTCTGTTATTAGGCAATTTTTCATTGCTAACAAGCCTTGGCTTGGGACTAACCAATGAACTGGTATCAATCTTAGCTTGGGACAGTATAGTTTTATGTGCAGCTCTTCTGTTGCTCAAATCTCTGGGAGAAGGTGGCCCGTCCATTATGGTGGACCTCTTAGGTAGAAGTTTGGGAGAAGGCTGTGTGGTGGATTTTTTATACTCACTGCTTTCTGTTTTAGTAATAGATGATTTAGAAACATCAGTACCTGGCCTATTCTTACTTTTAATAGTAAGCCCCTTTAGCTTTGGCCCTGGCTTAGGCATCTGAGTGCTTAGCATATCTAGGGTACTATTCAATGCCCTCTTTGCATCTTGTAGCTTTGAACCCGCAACATTTACCTTGGATCTTTCCACAACAGAGGTTTTTGTTGTAGAACTTTTTATAGTTTTGGTTTCTGTTTTTGCAAGTCCATTTTTCTCATCTGATGGGAAGGTCTGGTGATTTGTACTTCGTACTGGTCCACCAAGAGGTTCCTTGGAACAGATTTCAGCCCTAACATCAGTATTCAGTAATCCTTTAGTACAACTAGTTTGACTAGACAGAACTTCTGCTTGAACTTCAGCATCTGCCTGACTGGTAGCATTAAGGTCCATAGTATCATTATCAACGCATAGAGATGACTTGGCTTCTGTATGAACACATGTAGTCACTGGTGAACCTTTTTTTAAATAGTCTTTCACATTTAAATTAACTTGTTCAAGAGTTTTCTGATAATCTTTTTTATGTGAAACTTCTAAACGGGTTACGATTCCAGAAGTTTCTTCACATTCTGGACCTGCACAGGAACCAAAGTTCAGCTGCCTGTATTCACTATTAACTGGCTCAGATTGGTAAGAATGTGTAGCTCTCTGCATTTCAACATCGTCCTTTTTGCTAGCACAACAGATTTCTATTGGCTCTTCCTCTGAATCTGTAGTTGCCTGCGTTTCAGACACAAAAGACTGGTTTTGAAGGGATGAAATCATATCACTTGTAGAATCTGATGGGATTTCCAGTAAAGACTCACTGTCAGAGTCTTCCACTGTTCCATACATGGAGTTTGAAAGTTCAAAAGAGCTACTTTCAAACTGTTCAGACAGCGAAAAGTCCTCTGTGTTGAAGCTGCTAAAATTTCTACAGTAACTACTCAAGAGGTTTTTATTTACAGCAACTGTATTCTCAATAGGAATAGCATCCAAAATGGAAAACCCAAGAGGACCAGCAGTATCTACAGCTTGGTGGGCAAAGCTCGTGCTGTTGCTGGGCAATATATTAGCATGTGATTCAGGTTTAGCATATGCCGCTTGTTCAGAAAATCTCTTAGGTTCCATATTTCGGGTCTGGCCTAGCTCACTTATAAAATCATCAATGTTAGTCACAGGACTACCACCACAATGTCCAGGTGAATAACAAACATTGGATTCTCCTTTTTTGTCTACTATGGGATAAATTGATGAAGAAGCCAAATCATTATCAGTAGGACAAGACTGATGAAGGGGAGTATTGCAATGGTCTTTCTCCACTGACGTTTCTTGTAGATGGTCTTCCCTGGTTGTTTCTGACCCCGATGTCATAATAATGTGAGACAAGCGATCAACAGCTGTAATCAAATAAAAAGACTTATGAGCAATCCTAGAAATGAGGAGCTATATCTATACACTACTGAGATGTACTTTCTGTGAGTAGGAAAAGGGCTATCAGAATTTTCTCCGGGGGACCTGAGATGTCAACTTCTGGAATCACAGAACGGAACTAAGTAGCCTGGACTGATTCATATATTAAGATCTACACAATTCTGTACATCTATATTATATATGCAGTTCTCATTCTCCCAACTGGACATTCTACCCAAAGTTGAAATATCATTTATGGTTGGATGTGGACTTTAAAATTACCCTTTTCATCCAGGGCAATGTAAATGGTCACATTTCTCCCCCCTCTACACACACAGGATCATATACTCAACCTTTCACACTCTCAAACTACTCAGGTCTGTGGCAATATAATCAGCTTTAAATCTGATATCTGTGCTCCAGCAAGGGACATTTAAAATCCACAGACAAGATTGAACAACCTCAAACTAGAACACAACCAACTTGAGCAGGTCAAGTCTAATAAACACAACTTGTAGCAGGATCATAAAACCTGCTTAGCCCCTGATCTGCATTGCCTATTAACAAGCCTGGTTGTAAATTGCAAAATGGTTATTATAAACAGCATTTAGTAGAGGCTGGAAAGAAAGGGCTTGTTAAAAGCCATTCTAACACTCTCCATAAAGCCACAGTCTAATGGAATGAGTTTGTATAACCGTCTGGTATGCGATAACACAATACACTTCTGTGAATCTGGGGTTTGAATCACAGAGTTAGGTTTAATTCACTTTGCAAAAAAGTGTGTTATTGTGGAGCTATGTTAATAAGTGTTTACATAAATGTATAAGAGAATTACAATTAGTTAAATACCAAACATGCCCAAGCTATAATGCTCAGGAGGCAGATGAGACACATGTCATCAAGGAGAATAGACAATAGAGCAATATCATGTTTGAGATCTATTAAATTGTGATTTCATTATTTTTAATACGTCGGTTGTCGTACTGTAAGAGATGGTCATCTGGAAGTATACTGACAGCTCTACTTTAGCATCAGTTTTGGTGGTAAAATGAGAGCTGTCAGAATGCTGAGCTGCTTCTCGAGTGTGAGACCCTTGGCGCGGTGCTTACATAGGAAAAAGGGTAAACAAAAGAGGCATCTTTATCACTGTATATGCAGCTTTTACTGCACTGTAGTGATAAAATTGAAGGGTTTAATTAAGTTTTTGTTTCTTATGTCTATTGTGCCTTTGTATTGATATTTATTTCTTTTCTCATATTTTCTCATGATTATCCTCTAAAAACTATTTCTGCTCAAAAAGAGGCACCATTCTCTATGAAGAAATAACATAAAATTTGCAGAAACAAAATTCCAAAGACAACACAAAACCCTTCAAAGTTACAACAATGAGACTATTTCATTATGGTGGGAGAGAAAAAGCTGGAAAATCTGAGTTCCAGCCACATAATCTCACGTTTTTTGACACAAGTTTCCACTGCTGAAAAAGATCTGAGGAATACCAAACTTTTATTCCAAATATTTTTACTCTGATTTGATGAGCCAAACGCAGTATTATTCGAAAATGTATTCAAATTCTCTTAACACTTCATATTCTAGACGCTGCAGGTAATGTGTTTTTAATAGGAGCAACGTAGTTGCTCAAAGTGACTCACGCAAGACATTGAAATATGGAATCTTCCTTTATTGACCCCTGGAAATTGCAATTTGTTTGGCTCTAGCTGAAAAACTTTTATTGTTCCTTATCTCTATACTTCACAGACTCAGAGCAGTGAAAACAAAGCATCAGCAGGAGAGCCAGAAAACTAGCATTTTAAAAAATGGCAATGAATGGCAGCCTTCATTGTTTTATCATGACAATGGGATTCCCATAATTTTGCCTTCCTCATTGACTCCAATGCATTAATGCCTAGATGCCAAGACCAGATTTAGCAGCGTTTGTAGGCGTTGATTAACTTGACGATAACGCTATTACTGATTTCCCTACCCAAATATTTCAAAAATTTTGAAAATAAAACCATTTTCTTTTTTAATAAGAGAAAAAGAAAGGACACCAGCAGCTGTTATTATCACCAACAAAGCCATGTGATCACATATCACAGCCACATCATACATCAGATTTACATAATGTCTTAACATTTAATGCCATACTGATTCATGGCAACGCCCTGTCTACAGAATACTGGACAATGTACTGGTGTATACCCACATTTTCTATGCCCACTCTAATTCTTCCCTACTTTCACCCACCCTCCTTCCCCTCTCGTCATTTTCCTTCACTTCCACTCATGTACACCATGCTCTTCTCTGGCCATTCTCCTCCACATCTACCCATGGTACTCTCTGCTCTCTGTCCATTTTCTTACACTTCCCAGGTTATTCTCCTACACTTCCACTCATGTCCACTCTGCTCTCTGGCCATCCTCCTACTTTTCCACCATGTTCAGTCTCCTCTCTAGTCATTCTTCTATACCTCTACCCATACACAGTCTCCTCTCTGCTCATTCTCCTACACTTCCACCCAAGTACGTGCACTCTGTTCATTGGCCATCCTTCTTCACACCCAACCATGCTCAGTCTCCTCTCTGGTCATTCTCCTACACTTCCATCCATGCTCACTCTCCTCTCTGGTCATTCTCCTACACTTCCACCCAAGTGTGTACACTCTGTTCTTTGGCCATTCTCCTCCACACCCAACCATGCCCACTCTGCTCTCTGGTCATTCTCCTACACTTCAACCCATGCCCACTCTCATCTCTGGGCATTCTTGCACTTCCTCCCATGGCTTTTTTTCCCCTCCGTTTTCACCCATGCCCCCTTCCCTTCACCCTATAATCATGCTCTCTCACTTCCATCCAGCAGTATTTATCTCTTTGAGAAAAAAAAAATAATTTATAACATTGATCAACTTATACGTGTTTTACCTGAAACGGGTTTCTGGACCTCTAAGGTTACAGCTGAAGGTAAAGACTGGACGTAATCATAGGTTTCCTTGTAAGACATGTCTCTAACTTGGATCCCGTTTATTGAGAGGATTTCATCTCCAGGAGCTAACTTTCCCACAGATTCCTGGCAATGATGAAAGAATAACAGTGACATGATAGCTGTGATAAAAACGACGCTTTAGTTTTTATAAATTATAGAGATTATTTTGACATTTATCTATAAGTATAGTACACTTAGTATAAAGTATTCGAAAGTATATTTGCATACGTTGACATGCCTATTTCTATATTTCGGTTAAATAGAGATAAACTGCGCTAGGAATCAATTAACACTCTAAGAGCAGCTTTGCTTAATACAGGGGTAGCCAAACTCCGGCCCTCCAGCTGTGGTGAAACTACAAATCCCATGATGCATCTCTCTTCGGGAGTCATGTCTGTGGCTGTGAGAATCTTGCAATGCATCATGGGATTTGTAGTTCCACCACAGCTGGAGGGCCGGAGTTTGGCTACCCCTGGATTAATAGGTGAGTACACCCAAAAAAAGAGGAAAGAAAAATAGCACTGTGCTTCAACAAACTCAAAATATATTCCCAAAATGGGAATACATTTTGATTAAATGTTCACATTTTAAGAATAGCGCAGTGCTATTTTTCTTTTTTCTATATTGAAACAATCATCCCTCTAGTGCACACTTGCAAGTGTGCCCTTTAGCTGCACTTTGTGTCACACAGTGCAGCCAGCATCCTTGCTAGATCACTGCCAAGTGAAAATCAATTATAGGGTAGTCCATTTCAGTGAAGGTCTACTGACAGAACACAGTCCATTAGGGATAAAAGGAGCAGTAACAAGCATATATGACTGACCCACTATATCATTACACCTATCACAGACTGTTGGACATCCCATTTTAAAACCATGAGTATTAATAAGGTGTTGACCTTTCCCCCACCCCGCTTTTGCAGATATAACAGCCTTTATTCTTCTGGAAAGGATTTCCTCAAGATCTTGGAGTGTGTGTGTGTGTGTGGGAATTTGTGCCCATTCAGCCAAAGGAGAATTGTGTGGTAAGGTAATCGTGTTGGATGACAATACCTGACTTGCAGGCACAGTTCCAATTCATCCTAAAGGTGTTCAATATGATTGAGGTCAGGGCTCTGCGCAGGTCATTTGAGTTCCTCCGAAACAACAAGTTCCTCCGAAGTGCACAGTTGTCTAAAATGTCTTAGTATGCTGTAGCATAAACAGTAGCCTTGACTTGCATCACCGGAACTCAATAATTTAAAGGGGTGTGCACATTTGTAAGGCATGCTGGTTAGGTGCCACAAACCTTATATATTATATGTAAAATAATATATAATAAGAATGTTCTTTGTGCCTCAAACCTTCTGAAATTAGAACAGCCTGTAACGCCATAACAAAACTAATCAAAATCAAACCCTAGAAAGTACAAAGCATATAATGAATGGGTCCTAATTTAAAGAAATTGATAAATGGGTCTTTATGTGATTAGGGTAATGGCCAAAGGGGCGCATACGGTTTCCAAAGAACAACAAATGTAAAAAATGAACACATTTAGCCTTACCTTGCCCGTTTCTCCTTGTGGTCTTATACCAGTTATTAAAACTCTGACAGGAGATTGTTTGATTTCCAAATCTAATCCAACAGACTCATATTCACTGCATATCAGCTCAACAGTCTCAGTGTTGCATCGTCCCAACATCTCCGCCCCTTCTGATTTCTTCCCGACTAGATTTGTTTTTGAGCCCTTTGCAGAGGACCTGTTGTCTTCATTTTTATGTTTGGAGGCATTAGGACTTTCATTACTCAGCATGCTCTTAACTCGGGTTACAGCTTTGTGTTCAAGCTTGGGAGACCTCTTGCTTTCAGACTGTCCTTCCAGTGGATCTTTTATTCCTAAAGTACTTGGATGATTCTCAGGTCTAGTAGTGTATTCAAAAGATTTAATGGCAATAAACGGCGAGTCCACCATATGTTCCACTGAGCTGTATTCAGATTCCACCGAGCTAACACACAAAGAGGCCCCAGCTTCACCAAGAATACTTCTCGGCAGGTCGTCAGGTGGAACTTCTTCATCGACATCCAGGGAAGGAGTTGTCATAACAATTCCAGAATCCTCATCCCCGTTCTTCTTTCTAGGATCACAGAAATGCCTCTCCTCCTTTTTGCCAAAATCATCCTCTTCGCTGGCATCATCATCATCATAGCAGACAATCCTCCTCTGCCGCTGAAGAGGGCTTCTTATGGACAGTGGACTTCCATCAACGCTGGACTGCTGAAAGGCTACATGTTTTTCAGAAGTATGAGCAATGCCATTTCTCTGAGCGAAACAAACAGAAGTCTGTGCTTTTGTAGGCCCGTTTTCTTTAAATAAAAGGGAAAAATATATAAAAATAGGCATGAGAAAAATAAAACAAAACATTTTAAACCTTAAAATGTTTACTTGAATTCAGGAGCTACTGATGGCCAGAGACAGGAACGTTGTAGACAACCATAACATAGATTAAAACATTTTTTATAGCCATGATCCATTACTATCCCAAAACCTCTGTGTTTGCAGATGTCCTAGCACAGTTTTTTTTACCTTGTTCCTGTAGCGAGAAACAGCTTCTATTACTCCGTTAGGTCATCACCAGGCTTGTTAGGTTCTTACAAGGCCAGTTTCTGGGGGCTTAGATCCTACTTACATAGGCATGCTGCCAGAACTTTATCATCCAAGAGCCCTTTCCCAAAACACAGAGTGTGGGCAAGCTCTTGTGAGTCAAGTACTCACCACTGTATGTGGATAACGACAAAAAGGAGTGGGAATAGGTGGAGATTTGCAGTCCAGCAGAAGTGAACTGGGCAAGGCTGACACTGGTAGGGATTTCCTTCCAGCAGACGTTATGTATTGTCACCTCAAATAGGAAGTTAGAAACGCCTGTGATTTCTGGCAGATCAACAGGTATTTTTCTGTACAATAAGTCCCCTACATACAAACATTCAAGTTACAAACTTTCAAAAATACGAACACGCATTTGCATGTCCAATTATGTTAAGTTAGTTCACATGTCTGGCATACATTGTCATGTGTGTGTGCTTTTGTGCACTTTATTTCAAGCACAGGATGTCTAGAAGCAAGTGTAAAAGCAGCAGTGATGTAGCTGGGCACCTAGGCTAATTTTGTTGGACTCACAAACAAATTGGACTTAAGAACGTGCTCTCGGAACGGAACCCATTCATAAATAGGGGACTTACTGTACTTGCATCATTTTCAATAAAGTAAAATCTAATGCTAGAATGAGTTGCAGGAAGTAGCGCACTGGCTGCACTATGTGCAGATCTGCTTTTTAGATGAACAGGCCACCAAACAAGAGAAAGGCAACATGGCTTCATGTTTACTGAACCATAAAGGGTTTCTGGCACTTCTAACCGTCCCCTGCACACACCTCCACCTACATTCCTCATGCTGAATTTAGCCAAAAGGGCCCAGAGGTTGCAAGAAGGCAGAAACCGTGTAAGGGAAAAGCCATACTATGTATACAATTTAAGGCTTGGTGCTGTCCCTTACCAATACTGCGAGGGCCACAACAGTAAATACAGCCCTGTGTGTATAATCTGTTTAAAACAACAGAATTTGTACTGGAGATAGCATGCCTGGTTGACTAAAACACTGAAAGAATACTAGTTGCGTGGCATCAACATAAACTTTCAAATGTAAGGCATGGTAAAAAAAAAAACCTTTTAAGTTCCCCCCCCCCCCCCTTTTTCCCATTGGGGAGATTTTAATTACTGTCCTGTAGGCATAAGAAGTGAGAGGAAATCTCTCCAAAGTGAGAGCACCAGAACAACAGTCCCTCTTGGAAGAGTGCCCCTCTTTTCCTGTTCCGGTGACAACTCACAATTTTGGATTTTCCTTCACTTTCAGTGGATACCAGGACATATGGAGAGAGTCTATCTACCTAACAGAAACAGAGGCAGCAATAAAATCCTGATAGGGTTTCTAACCTCTTATCACTCACACCCCACTGAAACAAAATGTGGCTTTAGCTTTACTATAAATTAAGCCTTCCTTTGATGACTGGTGGGGCTTAGTGCTAAACAAAAAGTTTATCTTATGCACATTAAATGACCCTCCTGCTTGCTTCTTTCCTGCACAATATAACCCGATGAGCTGCGTATTATTTCTTTTCTTTGCCGTGGGCTATTAGTGTATACATAGAATCACTTTCTACTCTAGGAAAATGAACTGAATCTGGCAGGCAGCTCAGACTACAGACATTCCCGCTGATTTTTTTTCTTCCAAGAAAACGTCCAGCCATTGGCCTTAATTCATGGAAACAGCTTAAGCCTATGGCACAAAAGAAAGCCTTACCCCTAATTTATGAAGAGACCCCCTCCAATTTACTTCATACTACAAATATGGCAGACACAAGTTGGAAGACAGCGAGGTCTGTCATTTCTGGTTCCAGAACATTATCGTTCTCACACTTGGTTCCCAGGGAAATCAATTTTCCACTCTTTTAAACAGAAGATTTTGCTCTAGCGAAAGCCACAGAGACAGTTTACTTCTGTCCGTCCCGGAAGACAGGTGACATATAAACTTTTTATGAGCCTGGCTTATACACTGCGGAATGGGAGATAGAACAGTCACTGATGGACAATAGTCAGCTCATTTGTAACAGCTCCAGTAAACGGAATGGCTACAGATTTAACTTGATTCCTCGCCATTGACTGCACAGAGACACTGGATTTACTGTGACAGGGTCAGAGCCATGATGTCAGGGGGAAGAATGACAATAAAAGGGGAGCCAAACTGAGGACAAAACATCTTTTTAGGTTTTGAAAGAGCAGGGAAAGGTTAGGACACCTCTCTGGTGTCTATGACCCTATTGGGAGGTCCTCCCCTCGCTTCCTGTCTCAGTGACTGTACAGAAAGTGAGGGCAATCTCCTTAAAGGGGACACACAAAAGAATAATAAAAACTGACAGTTTTCAGCCGCTTTTAAAATCCAAAACTAAAAAAGAATTGGCGAGAGTTATACTTCAAGCACCATTCAGAGCAAAGTGACAGAGAACCTTACTAGCCCGCCTCCCATCACACTTATACTAAAATGTGTCACGTCTCTGCACTGCCTTGTTGGGGCCGCCTAGAAATACTCAGTGCTTCCGAGTATGGGGATGCATGTGACCCCCTCCCATGGTGCAGTGCTTCGGGGGAATGCTCAAAGTGACAGAGCCCCTTTAAAGTATATTTAAACCCCCCCAAAAATTAAATTGATTACAGCTTGTCAGTCCTTAGATGTGGTGGCTGTATTATTTTTCTTTTTTTCTGTGTTTTTCTCCTTTATTTTCACCTGGTGATCTTCCTTTCAAAAGGTGACAATGCCCACTCTCTTAATTTGGACTACAAACACTTTCACCTCGTCGTTCACAAATAATACCTGGGAAGGCTGATAACATTGATCAATATTTCAGCTCCATGCACAGAAGGTTACAAAGACACTGCATTTCTGGCAGGATCAACAGGTATTTTTTGTGTACTTGCAGAAAATCTAGTTCGCCTGAAATGAAACCTCCAGCAGCCGCCACATCTAAGGGCTGAAATAAGTTACATTTTGGTTCTTGGGTGTGCTGCCACATCCAGTGTAATTTTTATTATTTCTGCTGTTTCAGTTACACTGCATACCTATATAACTGCATTTCATTTTGTTATGCTGTATTTCTAGCTACAAGTGTAAGATTGGCCTTGTTACAGCCTAATCTGTGCATACTTTGCATCTTCCATTTCCCCCCTGCTGTTTTCTGTATATTGGTACAGTCTTCTGCTGAAACTTCCCAGCAAAGCTTTCTAATCTCTCTTTCTACATCACCCTCTGAGAGGTAAGGGGGTCTCTGTTATCCTGTTAATGACAAAGATAGGAATGTCTTTTCACTCTACGAATGACAAATAATCACATCCTATGTATTGAGAAAGCAAATAAACTGCATTGGATTCTACTTATCGAGTTGGACACTATCTGTGAATATCACCAAGTCAGTAGGTTGTCATACTGCTTGTACAGATAGGTCTCAGGCAAGTATGTGCAAATATATAAATCGGTGGTTTATTGGGTTTACATATCTTATATATTTTTGGTGGGATCGTAGAATGAATTCCTTGTGTATGGAATATGAGAGACTGTATGGAGTAAGTCAGGAGCTGTCCCTGTGGTCAGGAACGGTTTTGCTGACCTCTCCATTTATGCTGATAAATAGAAATGAATAAAGAACCCAACTGTCTCAGGAAGCCGGGTCATTACTCGCCACCGGGCTTCCTGATTGCCCGGGAAGCCGGCTCTATGTTCCCCTACGGCACTGCCGGTCAGATGAAATCTTCCTCTGAACAGAAGTTCCAGTATCGGGGAAAGTATCGGAGCATTTGGGTGAGTATGAGATACTAGTATAGATATCGCTTCATCCCTAGTTAACACAATGATGCAATGTTCTTTATCCATCCGAAAGAATCAGAAAGTAGTTGTGACATCTGCAGAACTGCTGGCTTTGGACAGTGTTGTCACTTTCTCCTTACTATGCAGCCACACACGGCATAGCCCAACATGCCATATATTGCTGCAAACACAGCAGAAACTTTAGGCATTTAAAGAAATTCCTTTACAAGGGAATAAATATATTGCCAGAGTTTGCCTTTTAAAAAAAAAAAAAAAGTTAAACCACTACAATGGGCTGTTCACAGATGTACAGCGATAGGGTTCAGAGGTCACACACAAATAACACAAAGAGTTTGCGGTGTAGCTGAAACCACTAGGGATTATCACACAGGAATGAATTAGAGGCCACAGAGCTGAACGGATGTCAGGTGCAGAGTCCCAATTCTCATCGTTCTACATTTTGCCGCCACACAGATAGAGCTTGTTCAGAAGTGAATGGGAAGTCAGTCTTACTGGCAGCACTGAAAGGAGCAGTGTTTTCCTCCATAGAGCTACTGGCGCTTCTCATTCGCAGGTGCTCCTCGTCACTTGAGCCGGTCACTGCGGTGTCAGAAAGAGAAGACTGGCTATGGGTTTCCTGGGAGAAGTATTGTGACAGCTCTGCTTCGGAGCTCACGGAGGCCTGGTGACATAAAGACACAGAGATGCATTAGTGGCATTGCAATCTTTACAAAGATTCTCAGAATCTGATCAAGCTGCATACAAGGTACTCATAACTTTGACCTTCAGGGCCCTCTAACACCTATGCAAACATGATGTACAAATTGCGTGATCTGCCAAAGTGTATTCTGGTGCATGCATTGCTGCTTGTGCTCGTCCATTATACATGGGTCTGCAATGTGCATCCATGCATCAAAAAATGCACTTGACCCCCCCCCCAGCACACCAGTGCAGGTGTTTACTGGTGTATGTGCTGTGGTATGTTAAGGGCTCATGTGCATTGTCTGGTCCATGAATGCATGCTGGGTTTATTTACTGCTCCCCCCAAAAGCATGCAGAAAACTGCAACACATGTTGCAATGTTTGAGGTAATGAGCAGGTATAGGTGTGAACAGATACATACATAGCTGAAATACATATATGAGACCTACTCTGCCTGTCAATATATTTGTACATTTTGTCAGCCAGTACTGCGATTCCACAACTCTGCACAGACATTTAACATCAGTGTTTCCTGATCTGCATCATCAGACTGCTCCAATAAGCAGGCAGGTGTCATAGGAAGTTAATGTGAATCACCAGATGACCACAATAATACGGGATGGTTTTCCTGGAGGCTTTCACTCTTATCTTTGCAACTCAGAAACCATACAATGTAGTGTGTCTGTGCACCTCCACTAAGGCCTAATATTAGCAAATTTCACATCAAGAAGAAAAATTTAATTCTTACTATAATATTAGTTCATACTTGTTCAGTCGTGATAAGAAAATGCATTGGACTAGACAGTCCTCACACTATGCTGCCAGTGGAATCCATGTTCCTGCCCTTTAAATAACAGGTTTTAAGGGTGTCTCCAACCAAAACTGACGGGTTGGAACCACTCTCCAATTTTTTATGCTGTATGTGCCCTCATTGGGGAGATTTCCCTGCACTTCCTGACCCCAGAGGAGCAACTTCTTTTTAAACTGCTTAGATGGAGATGACGCTAACAAAAATATGTTGCAGGATCATATTGTTTCTGGTGGTGAAGGTTAATTTTCAGGGATTCTAGAGGCAGAGGTATCAGATGAACTGGCTCGCCTAAAGCTTAAATGAAACAATGGGTCATGATAGTGTTCATCTGAGGTTTTCAAGAGAACTTTGAGGTATAGTTGTTGGACCATTAAAGCGGACCTTTACCCATATCTTTAAAATAACAACAAACACACCTTTAGAAATGTTTAGTAATGGCAACCTACAAACACATACCTCAAGATAATTGCCGGCTTTGTATTCTTTGCATTCTTTATTTCTCTTTTCTTTCCCAGTTTTCTGACCGTGGCCATGTTTACTAAGGGCAGATTACTAGCTCTCCTTTCACTTCCTGGATTTCTGGCACATGTGACTAGAAAATGCCTTTCCCTGAGATCCCCTGAGATTACAGATGAGATTTCCCAGCAATGCTCTGCTGATGACAAGGCAATCCCAGTGTGCATTGCTTTGCCAAACTAAGGTCATTTTGCCCATTCAAAGCAGGAAGTGAATGCTCTGCAAGTGTCAGTATTTCCAAATCACAGCATTTCACACCTGACAGGTCTATGTTATTATTAATCATCATACATCATACACAGAGGGGTGCATGGGTAGAATTAGATGTTTGAGTCTAAAGATCCGCTTTAACTGATCCTTTTAATCAATCTCTTGTAACAGGAAAGGTTCCCCATGACTGGCAGACAGCTAATATTGTCCTTATCCACAAGAAGGGTAGTAAGGAAGAAACTGGCATATTAGACCAATCTTTTTTTTATATATAATACAAATGTTTTGGATCAGGGTGGTGCTGTAGACATAGACTATCTTGATTACAGCAAAGCACTTGATATGGTTCCACATAATTATCTCATAAAAAAATTGTACAAGCTACGACTTAACTCTTGGGTGGTGCAGCAGACATGCAGTTGACTAAAGGACAGATATCAGTGTGGTTGCAAATGGGGTTCATTCGAAACAGGGACCAGTCACTTGTGTATTTTTATTGATGACACAAAAGATATGCAATAGGGCTGATATTCCTGGAGGTGTTTAACAGGAAACATGACTTGGCATTGCTGGAAAGTTGTTTAAAGCAGTGGAAATCTAATTCAACATTTCTTAATGGAAAATAATGCACTTAGGTAAAAATAATCCTCAGATAAAGTACAATATTGGGGGTTCACCATTGGTCAGAACTACAGAGGAAAAAGATTTGAGAGTGCTTATTTCAGATTATGAAATGAGCAGACTGTGGCTTGGCAGTGGGAACAGCAATAGATTTCCAGGGTGCATCACTAAAGACATCACCAGTAGGGGGAAGGAGGTCCTGATTCCTCTATCTAGATCTTTAGTTATCACTGAGGGATCACCAGCAGGAGGAAGGAGGTCCTGATTCCTCTATATAAATCTTTATTATCACTAGAGGGATAACCAGTAGGGGGATGGAGGTCCTGATTCCTCTATATACATCTTTACTTATCACTAGATGGATCATCAGCAGGAGAGAGGAGGTCAAGATTCCTCTATCTAGATCTTTACTTATCACTAGAGGGATCATGAGCAGGAGTGAGGAGGTCCTGATTCCTTTATCTAGATCTTTATCACTGGGGGATCACCAGCAGGAGGAAGGAGGTCCTGATTCCACTATATAGATCTATAGTTAGACATCATTTAGAATACTGTGACCAGTTCTGTAGATCTCACTTACAAAAAGATACTGATCGTATAGAACGAGTCCAGAGTTGGGCAACACAAATGGTGAAAGGTTTGAGGGATAAAAAAATATCAGCAGAGACTGCAGGAACCTAATATGTACAGTCTTGAAGAAAGAAGGGAAGGGGGGGGGAGGGGGCATGACTGAAACCTTAACCTTTCAATAAGGTTGTAAATAAAGTTAAGTAGGTTAATTTTTTCGATAGCAAACTAAGAACACGAAAACATGGCCTCAAACTAGCAGGAGGAAAGTTCAAAACTAATATTAGAAAGTATTATTATATTTTAGCGAAAGACTAGTTGATGCTTGGAATAGACTTTAAGCAGAGGTAGCGTGTCACTTGAGACAAACATGGATCTGTGCTCAGATGGACCACTTGGTCTTTTTCTGCTGTCATTCTTGTATGATTTGCACAGAAAGCAGGTGGAAATACCCACAAAATGATGGGCAACCTCTGACAGTTGTCACTGGAACAAGTGTTCCCATTGATAACAAGAACTGTAACATTTTTGACTGCACTTCACTTTCCCTTTCGGTGACAAGGGTCCCCAGGTTAGATCTCCCCAACAGGGCCACAGACAGGAAAAAAAACCCTGACTGGGGTCACTGCCCTTTCCCACTCTATCCGCAAATAGAAAAAGGTTTTGGTAGGAGATACACTGTATTTCTGTAAGGGGGGACACTCTAATTCTGCAAAGGGGAACACTGTAATACGTTTGGGGAGATGTTTACTTATTGCCTTATTGGAGTAAATCTTTCTTCCTGGTCCATAGTGGCTCAACTAGGATATGTGAATGAAGAAAGTGGCCACAAGTTTTATATCTTTGATCACCACCCATGTGCTTCAGTATTAGAGGGATGGGGCTTTAGAGTATAAGTGTAGAAAAGTGTTTTCTTTTTTTATTCCCTCATTGAAAGTCATGTTGTTTTTTGTCAATGCATTTGGTGTTACAAATAGTGCATAGCAGTTTTTTTTTTTTTTATTTAAAGCCCAATTGTATTTGACTGATTTTTGCTTGGAAATGCTTTAAAATACCTTTTTATCTCTTTGTGCTATTTACTGCTCTTCTCTCCTGTGCTCTTTGCTTGCAGAGCTCAGTAACAGCCACACCCCTCATTACAAGTGTCCTCACACAGACTTGTATTGGTGAGGAAGAGATGAGGGCGTGTATGACCAGGTCTATTACAGAGTCCTGATTTCAGAGTGCACTGGGTCTAACTCTGGTGTCTATCGGACTGCATAATCAAAGTCGGAATGTGTATACTTCCAGATCACTGACACATGGATGAGAACAACAAATGTTGAGTCTGAGCCTTTATAAAAAGGTTAGGAGTAGTGCTTTACATATTTCTATTTTTCTTTTGAGTGATAAACTATATATATATATTGGAGAAAAAAATGTTTTTTAAACAAAACTACTAATTTTGAAAAAACATCTCTGCTCCTTTTTATTAATTTCTAGGACATCCATTAGAAGCAACATATTATTACCTAGTAAGGTTTCAGTTTTTTGGCAAGACCACTTTATTTCAGCTGTGCCACAGGAAGGTGAAAATATAACTATGTGGTTATCCTTGTTTACTTCATGATGCAACTGTCTCCGGAGTACCGGAGTGAATCATCTTATACAAATCCAACTCTGTAAACAATGCAGCAGTGTGATTCTTATTGGTAACAACAGCCCTGAAGTGAGATTGTGTTCCAGGTGATAGATCTGTATCATAAACATATGAATAGGTAGAAGCGTTCATAGAACAATCATGCTGATATAGTAACACAAACTTTCCTGTATGTATGTTACTTTGTGTATATTTGTATTACTTGTATAGCAATGTTCCTGTAATATTTTACAATATTGGCTTTATTACGTACTCGGCTTGCAGGCTCCAGGAAGCGTTTCATAGTCCAGCTGAGAGGTGCTGATCCGTCCATTTGTTTCGGCTTCACAGTAGGAGATGGGCTCTTTAAATGCAGAGCTAAAATATTGGAACATAAATAATCTTTGATCCCTTGGCATGGTGCAAGAGTAGCCTAATGCAAAAAAAAGTATCTCTGTATACAAATACCATGGTATCTCCTGCTCCTGACCGGCTGTTGGAGCTGTTAATTAGTAGTTGAGGCACTTTTAGCCATAAAATTAACACCCGTCCAAGACTTCCAGGCGCCCTGGTGACTGGATTATGGTCCGATCACTGTGGGCGTGTTCTGAAAGCTGTAGAGAGCGTTACCAATAATGACATGGCACTTCTCTCTGCTGCATTCTCCTGTGGGCACAAGGCAGCCTGATGACACACCTTGCCATCCTGGACTTACAGGACATGGGTTGATGAAGGTTGGTGCTGAATTGCAGTGCAGTGGGACTGTGGGGGATAGTGCCAGAGTAAAACTGAGCCTTGGAGCAAGAGCTGCCTTTTTATTTTAGCAATGGCTGGGCTATGTATTTCTTAATTTCTGAAAATGAGTTTTAAGATGAATGAGCTACTTGTGTGGCTATAAATATTGGGTATGTTAAAGGGCATGTCCAGTTGAATGTAACTAAAGCTAGCCATACACAGGCAGATTCTCTCTTGTTCTCTTGCTATCTCTTACATCCGCACTAAGCAGCATACTTGGGAGAAATATTCCCTGACGCCTATTGTATTTAGCAGCATCAAAACCCCCAGCTGCCTGAATCCATGAACAGTGACTGCATCTGATAGAAGGCAGCCGCTGTTCAGCTGATAATTTTTAAGTGAGTTTTGTCCAGCCATATAGTGGCTACAGAGCCACCCAAAGCTGAAAATGCGAGACGTCTATTGTCAGCATAACGTGCTCAGAAAAAAACTGAATCCTTCAGCAGCTGTCAGCATTTATATTCAGTTCATGTTTTAAATCCATCTTACATCCATTTAAAATGCCAAGAAAATGTCATCTAATTATAATCAAGTTAGTTTGTTGTAATGAGAATATAGCACACAGACACTCTATAGGACAATACTGCTAAGAGCGTGCATTGGTCCAACACAGTTTACAGCAGCAGCAACTGAGAACTGCAGATCCTCTAAGATGTCATAATTCTGGTAATGACATCACCATTTGCACTGTACCACACGAACCCCAATGAATAACAATGGTTAAGTCACTGCAGTTATACGCTAGTGATAAAGCTCCGTTGTCATGTCACCACTGTAACTATGATGATAATAATCTACTCTGCCTTTGACAGCACACTAATTCTTGTGTTAAGCTGGCCAGACACTGTTAGAATTTAGTTCCAACCATCATCCAAATCGTTCATCAGAACATTTGATCAAGAGACAACTCTGTCAGCCCTTAAAAATGTTGTCCAGACCTACTACTTGAATGGAATCCCAGACATTTAAAACAGATTCCCTTTGTACCTAGAACGTGTGCATTACAATATGAATGATTTATCCCAATCCTTGTCACTATAGTCAAAAACGAATGTTGATTCGACCCCACTAACCATCAGAAAGTTAAAAAAAAGTTCTGAAAACAAAATTCTACTGGTTTGTGGCCAGTTTTAGAGAGTTTACCAATGAAACGGTGTGCTGTATGGAAAAATGTTGCATATAAGCTCTGGAGCCAATGGCAGGAGCCAGGGTAGTGCTGGGTCAGAAGCAGGTGCATACCAGTCAGGAGTGTTCCCCCTGGAGAACATGTGCAATAGGCCTTCAACAGCCCTAGAGGATAAAAACCACCCTTGCCATAAATGAAATGCTTCCTAATCAGGTTTTTGGGGTCAATACTGATGCTGGAGAAACAGCACAGAGGTGCATAATATGGAATTGCTGCACATTTCCTGCGGTCCAACAGGGACCTGTGACCCGGGAAGGAGCTGTCTTAACCCAGCATCATACATAGGATTCCCATTTGAGACAGAAATTACTATTTGAATAGGGAGTCATCTCTGCTACTCTACCGCCTGTTAATATTCAATTTACTTAAGACAAGTTACATACCTGGACTATGGGAAGAGTCCTTGCTCTCACGATGATGAGTAGAACGAGTGATTGCATCATCCATTTCTTGCTCTGACATCTGTATTCAAAAGCAAACAAGATAGGAAATGTTGGAGTGCATACATGCAATAGTCCAATATAAAGATTGTTCTTGTCCCCCATCCCACTCTGTTCTGTGCGATATAAAGCCACGCTGACAGCACATTCCTCTGCGAGCACAATGCCCACAATGTCCATCATTGATAAAAACTGGAGCAAAGGGAAGAGTGTGGTGTTACTCACAGCAACCAATTAGATGGCAGCTAGTGTTTTCAAAACTGCAGAGGAGAAAAGAGAGCTCAGATCTGATTGGTTGCTGTGAGGACTGCAGATGTTTTCTTATATGAAGCTGCAAATGGGTCATGACCAAAGACAAGAGGACTGTCAGAGACATCAGGTTCAGTTAACTAAGCAATAACCATAACCATTGCTATTTGTCATATATATTGTTATTGGCAGCAATGAGAGTTAAAAGGCAGTCAGATTGTCACTCTGGTCTCTCCTCCTTTCAGGGAGCTCTTTGCACTGCAGCAACTGAATGGTTGCCTGTGTTGCCCCTCCTTCTGCTGTAACAGGCTGATACCATGTTAAATTTGGGTGCTTACACTACTTGTATTTAAAACATGAATTCATTTATTTATTAATGATTACAGAGCTGCATTAGTTTGTATCTTATTTGTGCCTGGAGTTCAGCCCTTAAAAGGAGGACTATGGGGTTAAGGCTTTTCCACATAGTTCTCCTAAGGGTAACGGGAGGACACAAACTAGCGTCCCCCCGTCACCCAAAGCTCAGTATACCACGAGCTACAGCTCGCGGTATACTGAGACGCCGCAGCTGAAGCGGATCCCGACAATTATGTCTGGATCCGCCCAGCTGCGTGAGTGACAGCTGGCTCTGCCTACCTAGAGGCAGAGCCAGCTGTACCCACCCCCTCCCCGTCTGTTCCGCCAGTCAGGGCTGGAGGATCGGAGCGGGGACGGGGGAATCCAGCCCCTCCCCTGTCACGGCAGAGAGCTGTGACAGGATCGTGAAGTGAGCGAGCGCCTGTATGCGTTCACTCACTTCCCAATCTACTGAGCCGACCTGTGACAGTCTCATTGTCACAGGTTGGCTAGAACTATGAGGTGAGTGAAAAGCACTCACCTCATAGTTCTCCTTTAAAGAAAACTTGAAGGGAGAGAAACGTGTTACTGTCATACTTATCTTCTTTGGCACTTTCTGAGTTACTGACTTAAACAAGAAGCTCTTGCTTGTTATGAGTCATTGACTTAAGCACTGAAGTCAGAGGGTCAGCATAATAGCCAAGCAATCAGCATTTTCAGAAAGACATCAGCAATAGCAGCCCCCTATATGTGAATCAGACAAATTCCAATTGCTATTTTCCATATCTGGACTGGATGTAAATTGGGAGATATCTGGACTGAATGGGAGATAAACTTGAAGGTCCTAGGATTGCAATGGCCCAACAGAGCATGGTCAGCCAAATGCCTTAAAGTTACACTAAATCTTAAAAATGCATTAAAGTATCTTAACTATTAACTAAAATGTATTTTATTTGTGTATCACTCGACTGTAGATCCTTAAATCATCTCTGAATTGGTGCTGACACTGTCCTTCCTTCTGGACGGGGGCTAATTTTGTTCCCCATGGTCCCTGTGTGTGTTGTAAAGTAGCCAACCCTCCAAGCTCACCCCCGTGATGGACTACAATCTCAATTCAAATCAGTAAACTAAACATGAGATTGTAGTCCATCACAGGAGCGACCTTGGAGCGGTGGAAAAGCCCTAACCCCATAGTTACCTGAATGCATTTTTAAGATTAAACTCCTGAGTTTAGTGTCACTTTAAGGACCAATAATGTCATAAAAAGAGAAATTCAGTAATTCTCGACCGTCTCAGCTGAGGCAAAAGGGTCCAACTGCAACGCATCAGTGCAAATGTTTTACTGTGAAACATTGGTGTGAGAAGGCCCTCAATGTTGGGGAGATATCCATCCACTTATACGGCGATGTGAAGATCCTATATGTGGTCAGATAAATATCTGTGCTCACAGCTACAGAAGCCTTTACAGCATGATACAGTCCATGACAAAGTACAAAATTGGGTTCTGTAACGTGCTGACATTTTTAAAAAGCAGTGCAACAAATGACGATGACTTTATCACCACAAGAATACATATTTCCCTGACCTCACTACACTAAACTGAAATCAGATTGGCTGCTAGAGTATTCCACACTTATTATTGCACTCATTTTCTGAATAGGTTTGTTATAGATTAGTAATAACAAAAAAACTATTGTCAAAGCTCTATATTTTACTGTCAATGGTCTCAGCACATATGGATACCTTGCCTCTACAGCCCTTATGGTACATCAGTTATATATTTTATTACAGGTTACTTTTAATAAAACACAGTACACGAGTCTAATGTTCTGCCGCTGAACGGAAATGAAGGCCAGGAGAGCGAATCCCCCTGGATGTCATCAATTGCTCGGTGCAGCATATGGAATCTTTACAGATGCATGCAAAGAAAGGAGATGGACAATAGACATGTGTTTTTTATTGTTGCTCTACGATGTGTCATTTTTATATCAGCGTGAGACTCAGCTGCTGCCTTTATATTGTTGGAATAAGAACATACACAGACACCGGAAAGCTTAGAAGCACACTTTTTTTTTTGCTGCTTCGTTTTATGAAAGTAGATCTAAACCCTAAATGGATGACATTGAGATTGCTCAAGCACTGTGTATCATGGGCAAGTCCTATTTCTTTCCATAACAATTGTTTTCATTCATTTTTTTCTTTATTTGTTTGCATATCTTTGCTGTTAATCTCCTCCATCCACTTCCTGTCTGCATGTACTCTTTCCCAGCAGTGGCTGCACTTTATTGCTCTGGATCGGCTTCCTGATATTGACTATGGTAGACTGTGCCTGAATAATGTGTGCTTGCATACCCGCTTGTAATCACCACCAAGGGTGCATGCGACACGGTGACATTGCAGGAGCTTAAATTGGAAACAAGTTGTCACCCCGTTACAGGAAGAGCCTGAACCATGAAGGAAGGACCTTCATGGCAGGATCACTAGGCATATGAGATTTTAGTGATTGGGCTCACACCTACCTTAACCACTTGAGTACTAGCTTGTATATACCTCTTTATTAACAGGCCACTTTCCAGTTTTTAGTACTATGATAGTTTGACTGACAATTACTCTGTCATGAAGTACCTAATTGAATTTTATATCCTTTTTTTTTTAAACAGATTTAGCTTTCTATTGGTGGTAATTAATAACAAGTGGGTTTTAAATTCTTACTATATAACAGGAAAAAATTAAAAACATTGGATTTGCTTACATTTACCTTAATTAAAAAATCCCACAATCATTGGTGGCCACTGGCACCTTAAAACTACCCCAAAAATAATCCCACAATCACTGGTGGCCACTGGCACCTTAAAACTACCCCAAAAATAATTCCACAATCATTGGTGGTCAATGGCACTTTAAAACTCAAAATGATTTGATCAGTGGCACTTTAAGACCCCCACCTTCACTTTCAATCTGCTTCAATCCTTCTTTGTAAATCAGCCTGGGTTTACAAACATTCAACCCATTCACACAGGAGGAAATGGAGTTTGTAAACACTACTAGTGTTTATACTTATGATGGTTGTGATTGGTTCACTCTAATTGGCTCTTTACATCGTGTCTGTGATCTGAACTTTCCAATAACAGTTCAGATCACAGCCATTCACAGGCGCAATGGCCACTTATATTTTCTGTAGAGTTGTCCATAAATGGAACTCCGGTAAAACATGTCCATCTTCCCAATGCTTTTACAATCAGCGGTATGGAAGTGGCTTTAGTCAATGAATGGACAGCAATAGCTTCTTCTTAGAATGGGCACTATCTACCCAACTCTCTTTCCTGATGTTTATTTTTTGAGTTGTTATTTTTAACTTAAAAAAGTCCTGACGTTTACCTGAACGGTTCACACCAGGGTGGTTCGGTTATGGGGATTTGTCAGAACTGAACCACCAACATGAACAACCACATACATTCCCATGGGGACCGTTCATGAAGAACGCTTGGAACCGCCTGCTGCCAAAAATGCTCCCTGAGCTATTTTTTCACGCTGATCAGCGCAGATTCCATATAGATTTAAATGGAAATGCGCTGATGAGTGCATTTTTGGGCATTTTTATTGAGTTTCAGAGCTGAAACACGGTTAAAAACGCCTTTTTAAAATTTGTGCTGAAATGCATCCACCCTGGTGTGAATGGGGCCTGTAGGCAGATATAAAGGATGTATAATATCAATGCAAATTTGTATGCTTAATACTGTACATTAAAAGTCTTTTTTATGCAAGCACTGCAAGTACCTGAATTTGACAGGGTATCAGCCTCTTGCAGTCCCCGTATAGGAGAGCTTAAACTGGGAGAAGAATAAGCAGCAGAAGGATCTGATCTGTTGTGCTAAGAACTGGGAAGGACATCTCTCCACCCGGCTCAGCAACCTGGGATGCTCTGGCCGAAAGCAGAATCTACCACCCCCCACCTGACCCAAAGAGATGCAACTTGAGGTAACAACCTCAGGCTGCTTTATTATAGGGATGGCCATGCCTGTAGGTTTATCTTAACTGCAGCAGAGAGCCCTGCCAGACAGGCCTGCACTACATAGAAAGCTGTGTAAAAGTTGGAAACTGGATGAACAATAATTTAAAAAAAACCTCTGGCAAGAAAAATTGTTCCTTTGTATGCATTGCATCTGTGTATTTAGCGGCTTGCCTCCAGTTCACCTTTAGAGTGGCCAACGTGAAATGGAAGGTAATAAAATGGCAAACTTGTATAAAAAGATCTCAGCTATGATCAGGGGAATCAAGCTACATGTCCCCTTCTTCTTCTGCATTACCAATAAAGTTAATCCTTTCATCAGAGAAAGCCAATTACCTTCTGAGTCCAAATTTGGATTATGTGAGCATATAGAAGGACAGTGGGCTGTTACAGATAGAACAGCTATACATATGTAATGTTTAAAATTT